TTTTTTTTTGGTACCAGGGATCAAACTCAGGACCTTGTACTTGTGAGGCAGGCAGCAGCACCATTGAGCTAAATCCCCAGCCCAACACTTACGTTCTTTTAAAACTTTATGGACATATCCACAATACTAAGAGTTGATTTGATAAATAGGAGCTCTGGGGTAATGTGGTCTTCAGTACTATTGCAGGGTACAGCATACAGGGGAAGTGTGACCGCAAACTGTCAGCTTTTCTCAGGTGGTTAGGCCTGTTTTACTGTTTTTCAAAACTCCTTGGAGGGAGTGGTTCCCTCATTTTCTCTACCTATGGGTACTTATCACCCCTCCCTTTTCTTTTGACATCCCTGATATGAGTGGTCCTAAGCCCCCAAGATGGGCCAACACCTCACACCTAAAGAACACCCAATACTAAAGCCCATCTTATCCTATGGACTCCTATCTCAGCCCAAGTGAGCCATAGGACTCCAGTGCCTAAACCCCCGCACCTGTGTTGGGACTTGGGGATTAGTCCAATGAAGTCTCCACCCTGAAGGAATATTAGCCCTCAACTAAACTCCAGTAGACTCTCCATAGAAAGGGCTTCCTCATCCAGGAACAAAGACTCATGGTTTGTCCTTCCAACAAAAGCGGGTACCTATAGTACTCATTGTCCTGGAAATAAGAGTTCTTGTGGCCACCTTGGGCAGTGTTACCTACAGAGTAATTGACAATACAGTTCAAGTTAAAAATCTTACGGCCACTACCACTGAAATCGTTGCATCTAGAGGAAGCAACCTTCGAGACCTCCAGAGATCTCTTGACTCTCTGGCTGGAATGGTTCTAGAACACAGACAGGTTCTTGACTGGATGTTTGCTAATCAGGGAGGTATATGTGCCATGTTAAACGGGTCTTGCTGTATGTACATAAATAACTCCCAGGTGGTAAAAACCAGGACATCCATCATTATGGACAGAGCCAAATGGCTCCACAATCAGAGGACCATGGACCTACTCTCCTCCCAAATCCTCACTCAGATCAGAGGCTTAATTCCAACCCTCAGATCATGGGTCTTGTCCTTAGTAACACCCATCCTCCTTATCCTGCTCATGTGCCTCTTCGGTCCATGCATAATTAATTGCCTTACTTGCTTTATTTCAGACTGTATCAATGTTGTCAAGATACAGATGGTCCTTCAGAAAAAACCTATTTAAAAACTTGCCCTCAGGGCCTGAGATGCAACTCAGTGGCACTGTGTCTGCCTCGCAAGCACAAGGACCTGAGTTCGATCCCCAATACAAAAAAACAAACAAACAGGGCCAGGGATTTAGCTCAGTCATTCCAACACCTGCCTCTTGAGTGCAAGCACCCAAGTTTGATTCCTGGTACCAAAAACCTTCCTCACAAGCACAAGGACCCAAGTTCGATCCCCTGTACCAAAAAACAAACAAAAAAAAAACTTGCCCTCTTTCTACAGGGAATGCCCCCTTTCAGCAGGAAGTAGCCAGATGTGGAGAGCAAACATTTAGTGCAAAATTCATTATATAATTTACATCCTTTTCCAATGACAGCTGTCACTGAAGCTGTCACTGAGCCTGAGGCCATGACAGAGGCCATGACTGAACAAGACTGATAAGTGTGGAGAGCCCATGCAGAAAGGGTGTACGTGTGTAGGAGTTGCCCTGATATGATAAGCACCTGTAAGACCCTCGTGTGTGAAGTAATGTAATGCAATAGATAGATAAGCCCGAATCAGTGCCACACAGACATAAGAACAGTATAAAAGAGAGAGCGCAGAAAACTAGCTCATCGCACTCAGTGACCAGGAGACTTGGTGGCCACTGGCCACATATGTGAACTTGTACGAGGTCACAGCCAAGACTCTGACCCAGGACATCGGGAGGCACCAGCCCTGAGTGCACCCCTGGAGGCGAGGACACTGGCCACAGCCGACGCTGACCTGCGAATCACTGTACAGGAGAAGTCGTGCTCCTCAGATCTGTGCAGGTACAGGGAGTGGCAACTGGCAGGCGGTAGTTAGTAGAAGTGTGCATTGAGTAATTAGAGGCATTCAGAAAGGCATTTGGCATCTGCCCATTATTACTACCTTTGCTCCCTGCTCACGACACCATAGTAGTCCTCGCCCAAGGCCCCAAGAGCAGTTGGTAGGGTGCCTTAGAGGGGGAATTGTAGGGATAGAAATCCCTAGGGATGGAAAGTGAGGGACACACCCCACAAAAAGTTTTGACAGTTGGACAGGCCTAACCACCTATGAAAAACTGACAGCTCATGGTCACACTTCCTCTGTATACTGTACCCTACAAAGCTTATTTTGTAGAAGTCAAAGAAAAAAAGAGAAAGAAATCTAAACCTAGAATGTAGAAAGTCCCCAGAGACCCTTTCCCATCCTCTCTAGTAATGAGCCAGTCAACCAATCAAGTAAGGGTGCCCTCAGCCCAGAGACAGGATAGATCCCCGACTGCTATAAAGTTAACACTGGTGGCTTTGTTTTGGGCACCCCAGCCTGTCTCTCTGAGAGAAGGCAGCTATACTCTTGCATGCTTGCTATATTAAAATACAAAATTTGCTTCTACACCTTCGATCTATCTGATTCTTCCACAGCCATCTGCATCATTGGGAGAGTCAGACCCCGGATCTGACTCCAACCTGCCACACTATGATTTAATAAAGCCTCAGCAGTGGTTATGGCTTGGGTTTAGATGTCCGACCAAAGCCTCAACTGAATGCGGAGGGGCTATTTCAAAGGTAGTTGAATCTGGAGTGTTTGACTGACTCAAGGTGCAATGCTAGACCTGAGGGCACTAGGCTTAAGTGTGTGAGCATTACTTGCCCTAAGTAGTTTGAATAAAAGGGGCAGGAGGAGGCGGTTAAGGTTGCTTTTGCTATGTGTGGGCACCAGGAACTGTTTAGCCTCTGTTATGCAGCTCTGCCATGTGTCACCCTGCCTCGGAGACAGCTGATTATGGACTGAAACCTCTACAGTGAGCCAAAAGAACCCTTTTCCCTTTAACTTTGGGTGTTGGGTGTTTTATCTCAACAAGGGAAGATAAGTAAGACTGTACGCAACAGTATTTTCAGAAGTAACACAAGTCAATATTTTACGAAGTGAATGCTGTGTCAGATAGTTGGTATGTAAACACTAGATCAGAACTTTCAATGATATAAATAGCCTGATGTAGCATGTATGCCATACATAGATTTGCCACCACTCTACTAAATGATATGACTACCTTTGTCAACTGATATCCTTTCTTCACTGAAATAATTGAAACCCTGGTAATTTTTACCAATTTTACTGATTTCCAACCAAGTGTTTGTGATTTTTCAAATGTATAGGCATATTGTTAAGAAAGAATTATGAATAAACAAATGCAACCGACTTTTAAAAATTGCCACAAGGTATGTGTCTATCTAGAAGGTGTATTGTTAATGTGAATCAAAAGTTATTTAGAAAAAATAAGAACCAAAATATCCATGTAAAGGTACAAGATCCCAATGATTAATATAACTATATTGTATAACTACAATATACCAATAAAGAAAAAAGGGGAAAACATTACATTAGGCCTCGTGTTGTGTGTGGGATACACTTGTAATCCCATCTACTTGGGAGGCTGAGGCGAAAGAATCCTAAATTTGAGGTCAGTGTAGGCAATTTAGCTAGACTCTGCTTCAAAATAAAAATTAAAGAAGATTAAAGGACTGGAGATGAGACTCAGAGATAGTGTATTTCTCTAGCAAGTAGGAGGCCCTGGTTCAATTCCCAGTACCACAAAAGTTTGAATATTCAAATAAGAATATCTTCTATTTAAATAAACCCAATGCAATATATTTGTGATCTTTCGTTGACAATCAGTAAGATATTCTTTTTCTAAACTGAGTTTATTGGTACTTTCTAAGTATACAGTACAGTCACAGTCATCATTGGGATTCTGTACCTTTACATGACAGATCTTGGTTCTCATTTTTTCTCCATACCCCTGCTCTCCCTTCATCCCCTCAACCTATTTACAAAGACTTTGTTTCCATTTTTTCCTTTTCTCATATTTTTCTTTTCCTTTATTTCCTTTCCCCTACCAATAAGATATTCTTTTAAAAATGCATTAGGTAACTGTAACATAGTCGGTACTGTTGTAAATATGCACTGGAGAGGACGGAGGATTTAGGTCAGTGACGCCGCGCCTGCCTCACAAGTGCAAGGTCCTGAGTTTGATACCCCGGACCAAAAACAACAACAACAACAAAAACCCACTGGATATGAATAAATGCAAATGCAAAAAACATGCTCTCTGCCCTCAAGGAGCCTGGCTTAGCAGAAGAAATCCATTTATCGCCCTACTGTGTTACATGTAACATATCCTAGCATTTAGCCATGTAAGGCCCAAAGGATGCCTATTTGGGGGAGAACCTGGAAAAGTTCTAGAGAAAACCATTGAACGAAGTTCTTAAGGATGAACAAAAATTATTCAGTGAGATAAAGAAGGAACTGCAAGGTGGTGCAAACATAGAAAGCCATGAAATACCACAGTGTGTTGAGCCCCATAATTCTGCGAGGCTGCATTTGGGTAAGATTTGGGTAAGAGAGAGGCACAAGAGTATGGAGAATAGGGGCTGACCTCACAACTTTGTACTTTACCCTACACAGAAAGGAAGCCTAGAAAAATCCCAATGAGGGTAATGAAGTGATTGATTTACACTTCGAAGATTACGATCCGATCCGTGGCTTCGTACTCTACAACTCCCACCAGAGGGCTGTCTTCTCTCACCAGGGGTCCTCACTCACGCTTCTCCAGAAATCAGACGACTTGCCCCCTTTTCCCAGCCTCGGTCAGCACAGCCACCCCGCCCGTCGTGCGATTTCGCCCCCCTTCTAGCGCCCCTGTGGTCTGACTTCAGCAGCACTTTCCGGCAGGTGACTGGGCACTCGCTGTCACCGTAGCGGCCTCCCTCAACGAGATCTGAGAATCTTCCCGGAGGCTGACAGACCATCGGATTTGCCTGTTTCCTTCTCCCATGTGGGGAAAGGTCTGGCTCCCAGCCCACAGGCAGCTGGGCGTTAAGTAGCACACGCTTGGGGAGAGCCGGTCCGGGGCGAACCCCAGCACTCTTAGTGACGGGGACAAGCGCCGCCAGCTCCGCCCGAAGACTCGTGCCGGCGAGCTAGCGAGGTAAGCTGGGCCGAGGATGGGAGGGGGGTCGGCTCACCGGTAAAAGGCAGAGTCTCCGAGTGGGTTCCAATTAGCTGTGTAACAATCCATGGCTGGAACCCGCAGCGGCTGGGTAACGCTGCGGGAACCTCGGTCTAGTGCGGCCTCCAGGCCGGCACTTCCGCTTCCGCCCGTCTGGGTCACGTGGTGAGGCCGCCACAACAGCCATCACCACTATGGGCAACTGGCCTTGGCCTTTACAGTACTCCCCTCCCGCACCCGGGCTTCGCGCCCGCCTGGGTGGGCTTAGTTACAGGTCCTGCTCCCTAAGGCAGCCAACCTTTCCTGTCCTCTCTAGCGCTGGGGGTCGCAAAGGGCGGGAAAAGGGTGACCGGAAGTGGGAGCTGTGAGCGCTGCCGCCCCTGGCGCCGTGGTCCGGAGCACCGTCGGGGCCCCTGCGACGCTCGCATGCAGAGCAATGGGTGTCGGGTTGTGCACGGACGGCTAACCTGGGCGCATGGGCTCTGCGAAGCGAGGGTTATGTAGAACTGACTGGCCTCTCGGGGCGTAGGAACATGAGGCTTAACCAGGAGCCAGCTGCGGGCGAGGCGCACGGTGCGCGACCCTAGCCTGCTCGCCGGTGAAAGGCACTGAGCCCCGGGACTTGGTAATTGGCGCGAGCGGGCGCACGCGCATGCGCTGGGCGGCGGGCACGTGGCGGGGCACAGGACTGCGCCGCGCGGGAAACGCCACAGTTCCCAGCAGGCCTGCTGGCTGGGCGACACCCGGCCTCTGGTGCGGAGTGTGACCAAGGCAGCAACTGCAATGGGCTTCCTTCTGCCGCTGCTACCATCACCACGCTGTAACCCTGAGCATCTTGGGAGGAGCCTGCGCAGGTCTCATTTATCCTGGGGCGGGACCTAGGGTAGAACTGCTCTGTGTCCCCGCCCTCGAGCGGTTTAGTGTCCTCTTCCTGCAGCCGGTTGGTGTCTGTGACAGCATGGTCTTCTGTCTGGAAAACGAGGTGCCGCGCCGCCCGCTGCGAAGCGCCATGGCCCACTTCCAAGCCTCAGAAGTCCAGCAGCTGCTACACAACAAGTTCGTCGTCATCTTGGGGGACTCCAGTGAGTGCCCCTCTAGGATGACACTTCCCAGCCTGGCATCTGCAACCTGTTCTCTGAACCCTCCGAGCCCCTAGCCTGTCTTAGTCAAGTAGATTTTCCCTTTTATTTGTTTGTTTGTTTGTTTATTTATATTTTGGTTTTTTGAGACAGGGTCTCACTTTGTAGTTGACTCTGACCTGGAACCCACTATGTAGCCCAGGCTGGCCTCGAACTCAGCAATCCTTCTGCCTCAGCCTCCTGAGTGCTGGGATCACAGGTGTGCGCCACCACACCTTGCTCCCTTCTTTTTATTCTCGCATACCTTTCACAGGTGTCCTGACTGATGCCACTTGTGTATCCTTGCTTAGCCTCTTTCTTTCTCCTTCACAGTTCCCATAATTTCCCTAAAAGCTGTGGAAGCTGTGTGCTTCAAGATGATCTTGGTCACTGAATACAAAGTTTGCAGAGAAGGACACAGAAGGAAGAGAGATAGTGCCAGCATTTTATACATTTATAACTTTATAACTATTTATAACTTCACTCTATCTGCTTTTCTAAGTCAGCATTCCAAGCTGGTGTTGGCCAGCCCAGCTCTCAGAAGATGGGAGGCTTGGATTGGAAAGAGATGGGATGGGATGAGGTCTGCTTTAGACTTGGGATCTCTGTCTTCTTACAGTCCAGAGAGCTGTGTATAAAGACCTGGTGCTTCTGCTCCAGAAAGACTCACTGCTCACAGTTGCCCAGTTGAAAGCCAAGGTGAGAGAAACTTGGCAGCCGTGCTAGTGGTGGGTGGGTACAATACCTGGCCTGGTGGGGCCACCAGGCTGGTTTGGGTCTGACCAGCGGGTTGCGGGGTGGGCAGGGGGAGCTGAGCTTTGAACAGGATCAGCTGGTGGCTGGGGGCCAGCTGGGTGAGCTGCACAACGGGACACAGTATCGTGAAGTCCGCCAGTTCTGCTCGGGTTCTGGCCATCACCTTGTTCGGTTCTACTTCCTCACCCGAGTTTACTCTGAGTACCTGGAGGATGTCCTGGAGGAGCTGACATATGGGCCTGCCCCGGACCTGGTGATCATCAACTCTTGCCTTTGGGATCTCTCCAGGTTAGCGCAGGAGAGAGGGAAATTCTGGTTGAAGGTGGAGGTATAGTTCCACCCTACTGCTCCTGCCCGCCCTATGTGTTACCCAACAGGTATGGCCGCTGCTCAATGGAGAGCTACCGAGAGAACCTGGAACGAGTGTTTATACGCATGGACCAAGTGTTGCCAGACTCCTGTCTGCTGGTGTGGAACATGGCGATGCCCCTGGGAGAGCGTGTCACTGGGGGTTTCCTACTGCCAGAGGCAAGTGACAGGTCCCATTGGACAAGGGGTGGGACAGCTCGCTGGTGGGGGACCCTCTTAGAGGCTGCATTTTCTCACTCAGCTCCAGCCCTTGGCAGCCACTTTGCGACGGGATGTGGTTGAGGGGAACTTCTATAGTGCTACACTGGCTGGGGACCACTACTTCGATGTTCTGGATCTCCACTTTCATTTCCGGCATGCAGTACATCACCGTCATCGAGATGGTGTCCACTGGGACCAACATGCACACCGCCACCTCTCACACTTGCTTCTGACCCATGTGGCTGATGCCTGGGGCGTGGAGCTGCCCACGAGGGACCATCCCCCTGGTGAGCCCTACTGCAGAGAGGGTGGGAAGTGATGCAGAGGGCCCACAGAACATAGGGCTTAGGAATGGAACATAACAGAGGTACTCATGGAAGGTAAGGATCCCTTGAAGGACTTCTGGGGCTTTTGAGTTTTCCTTTGTCAGTGCCTAGGGAGAGAGAGATCACAGGAGTAACAGTTTAGTCCAAGTTTCAGGTCTTTACAGTCTAGCCCTATAGTCCCCTCTGTACATGAGTGAGCTTAACATAAGTACTGATTGCAAAAGACACAGCATCAAAAGACCCCATCCAGCGGATGAACAGAAAATAAATGAGGGTACTTCTAGCTAGGCGCAAGTGTAAAGGGCAGAAATGGAGAAATGGAAGAAGGGAGGTCTAGGCAGTATGGCAGAGGCAAGGGGGCTCATCGGCACAGTCATCTGGAATGTTGTTGAGTAGGGATGTGATGTAACCTGTGGGGTATGGATGGTCAGTTTCTTGGAGCTGGGCCCAGTGACAACATCTCCTTTATTCCTCAAGTCAACCTGAGGGTCCTAGTGTCTCTGGCTGCAGCTTAGCACACCTCGTCTAGTCCCCTCTCTGGTCATTGGTGGAGACTTCTGAGGGTTCCACTTGGTTCTCTTGGGGGACTGTTCCTACAACTCTGCTTTTGAGTGTTTGTTTCCTTGTTAGCCTCCCAGTCCGTGCCTGCACACAAAGGGGACATTGTGGCAGATTGTTTCCATGTCTGTCTGTCCTCAAGGGACAGGCACTTGTTCACAATTCACCCCTTTCAGCCCTGTGTCTAGCATAGTCACTCTGTAGGATAGTATTTGTTGAATTGGAAACACAGATCATTTCAGTAGCTGTTGCAGCACTCGAGGGTGTGGTTCCCATTTTCTTGTTTTTTTGCTGAGAGAATTGATTCCCAACAAAGGAAAGGATGTTCTAAAGATTGTGAAGCTAGTTTATGGTGGCTCAGGCCTTCTGAATCCAATTTGGAGCTATGGAAATTAAAGACGTCAGAAGAGTTGATTTGGAGTGGGAGTTTGAGTGGGTGAATTTGATTAGGGAGGATCTGTTTGAGCTACTGTGGAAATACAGAGTAGATCTGCAGTCAGCAGTACCCAGTAGTTGGAAGAGGATAGTATGAGTAAACTGTGGAGTAAGCAGAATACTGCTCACACTTTGGATTGACAGGGAAGAAGAACTGATGGTAAAAATAAAAGAAGGTGAAGGTAGAGGCACTTTCAGGAAGGACCATGGATATTGGTAATGTCACATGACCATGAGGTAGAAAGGGCTTTGTTAAATTTGTCAGTGAGTGGTTACATGTAGCAGGAAAAGCAATGAAGATTGAAGGCATGGAGTAAGAACAGCCAGTGGGAGCTTAATAACGGGATGTAGATGGGACAGACTTCCTCAGAGAAGTTTGGGAGGTAAAGAGAACTATACAAGTGAGGGTAAGGGTCTTTATATTTGTCTTATTAGCCTAGTGAGAGGAGTTGGGGAGAGGAAGGAGCTAAAATAGGAAGTAAACAAAGGGAATAAACTGAGGAAGGGAATGTGAGGTTAGAGCAGAGGTAGATGTAAGAAGCAAGAAAGAAGGAACACACTTTGGGCTTGGCCTGAAATGAGAGGGAATGAGAAGAAGTAGGAAGAAGGCACAGAGCACTCTGGCATGAAGGCCCTATTCTCCAAGAGGATGGAGTAGAGCTCTGGAAGTGTGGATCTCTGGCATTCAGGGAAACCTGGTGCCCAGGCCTACCTAAAACAATCATCCCATTCCTAGAACCATGGATTGAGGACTGGCCAGAGATGGATCATCTGTTCCAGGGAAGCCATAGGCAGCCCCCAGACTTCGGGGAGCAGCTGGCCTTACCCCCACCCCCACCCCCTCCTTTACCCCCTCCTTTGTCTTTTTCCTACCCTCTTCCACAGCCTTCGCCACCTCCCTTGTTCCCACCCCTGCCCCAGGATACCCCTTTTTACCCAGGCCAGCCCTTCCCACCCCAGGAATTCTTCAGTTATAATCCAATAGAAGACTTCTCGATGCCACCCAATTTAGGTATGTGCCTCTGCAGTCTCCTCTTGTATCTCTCCCAGCCTTCCTTTGCACCTCCTGAGCCCAGCCTTCTGTGCCGAGGTGTGCTGAGAGGAGATGGGTACCCTTTGTGCCTCCAGGATTAACTTGGGTATAGTAGTTCCTCAGCGTGGAACAGCATCTGTGGACTCAGTCAGCTCAGATTGTCACAGGTCCCAGTTGGGAGGTAGGGGAGGTGGTGCTTCTGTTGTGCAGGTAGGAAACCTAAGCTGAGAGACATGCCCTGGAAGAGCAGCGCTGCCTGTAGGCAGCGCTGTACTCACCCTGCTCAAAAGCCCACCCCCCATAATGACTGGTTCTTTTGTAGGGTGTGGCTCTGGAGTGAACTTTGTGCCTGGCCCCCTGCCACCTCCAGTCCCTGGCTCTGTCTCCCATGGTCAGCACCGGGGCCCAGTGGTCCACCGGGGGATGCCACGCTGTGTTCCCAACAGCCCCTACCATGTGCCAAGGTTGGGGGGTCCCTGTAGACAGCGACTCAGGCACTCAGACAGACTGATCCACACATACAAACTGGACAGGCGAGGACATACCCATTCAGGAACATGGCCTGGGTAGAGTGGATTTTGGGGTGGGGCTGGATGTGCCGATGGCTCTGCGGGGCCAGAGTGTCTGCTATGCCTGGCATTATTCTTGTCCATTGCTGTTACCAATAAAGGCATGGAAGGACAGAGTGACATATTCCTGTGTAAGGGAGTGGGTCTTCCAAGCCATGATCTTAAAATTTGGGGAGGTTTCCTCTGGGCTTTCTCCAATCTTGGACTCTGGCTTTTGGGGAGGTTACTGGGGATCAAACTTGGGTCCTTACACTTGAGAGATAGGTGGCAGCACCTCTGAGCTAAATCCCCAGTCCATCCAATCTTGGACTCTTAGCCCCACACTATTTAGAAATCATTGAATGTGCTTTTCTAACATACATTTTCATCTTCAGCAGAATAAGTATGCTTAAAAGAGAACCTGGATTGGTTTCCTGTTGTCAACAGCTCTCTGAGACTGGGAAAAATCAAGGGCTGAGTTGGAATTGTCAGTATTTTTTATGGAATTTTGAATCTGGCTAATTCTTAATCTATACCTCCGAGTCACATAGTATTCATCGGTCCCTGGAGATAGACACAAACCAGCTGGGTGTTGGGGGCACACACCTATAATCCCAGCACTCAGGAAGTTGAGGCAGGAAGATTTCTGTGAAGTTGAGGCCAGACTGAACTACATAATGAAACCCTGTTTCAAAAAAGGTGTTGCCTGAAATATGGGAGGGATGGGGGTTGGATCATTGCAGTGGGCTGATAAGTGACATAGGGGCGTAAAAATAAGGTAGCACGAAGACAAATTAAGCTTGAGGTAAAATGGATGGAAAGAGCATGGGTGCAGAATTCTTACCTTGGCTTTTCATTCTTGTTAATCTTTGGAAAAGGACATTAACATGTCACCCAAAAGCAGACAGAAATAGCAACTCAGAAAAGTGTTAATCCTGGCTAGCAGTCTACGAGACTAAATGTAAATGAGGGGAAATAGTTAACATATACTAATGCTGAGAAAACAGTAAATATAAGCTAATGAAAGCCTTTAGAGGTACCAATTGAGACAGTGGGCAAAGGTACCGGTACAATGCCAAAACTATGTCTGACTCATTTCTTGTTTATAACACTGAAAAGGGACATACAGAACTGAAAGAAAGTTGTGTTTGTGGAACTGGGGCTGGAACCCAGGGCCTTCTGTGCATTAGGAAAGTGCTGTAACACTGAGCTCATCACTTTTTACTTTTTTTTTTTTTTTTTGTACTAGGAATTGAACTCAGGACCTTGCACTTGGGAGGCAGTCGGTGGCATCACTGAGCTAAATCCCCAGCCCAACTTTTTTATTTTTTATTTGGGGGTAGGGTCTCTAGGGTGCCCAGGCTGGGCTCAAATTTGGGAACTTCCTGCCTCAGCTTCCCAAGTAGCTAGGTTTACAGGCATGTGTGCAACACCAGTCTGCAAAGTTGTTGTTTTTTTTTTAACATAAAATCATAGATTATTTTCTTTGCAAAAGTTGACTTATTTTCCTTTCCATTAGCAAAACCCACCCTTGAAGCAGCGCTCTTCCCTTGCATCCAGTTGGCCTACTCCTTTGTCATTCCTGTATGCCTTTGCTTCTCTTTTCTCTGTTCAGATACTTTTGTGCCTCTGATTCTGGGGCTTTTAAGTGTTACTGGAGAAAACTGTACACATGTTCTGATTTGCAGGAGTAAGTGATGAGTTTATCACCCTTGCTGGACCGTCCCTGTTGTGTGCCATCTGTTCTCCAAGAACTCCCTGTCCCTTTCCCTGCTGAGCCTTTCCAGGGCTTTCCACTTGCTTCTGGAAATTCCTCCAATTCCAGAGCTCTCTGGAGGCACCCTTGGGATGGTTTGATGCACTCAATATCCCTGTATTCTACCTCTGTATTTATAATTCCCATCCCTTTTGGCTACATGGCTTGTATCACCACGGCGAGGTTTCATAACCTTTACTTCAGTATCCAAATACATTTTGTCCTTAGTTTTCGCAGGTCTCTCAAATTTGATGAAATGATAAATATTTTCTTTAATCTTGAAATTTATCAAAGAATAAGAGAAGATAAATGGTTTTATTTTCACTTTGTCGTCATATAAACGTATAGTTCAAAAGACTAAAAATTGGAGGCCTCTAGCTGGATGAAGTGGTGCACACCTGTAGTCTCAACACTATGAGGCGGAGGCAGGAAGATGCCAAAGGCAAGCACAGCCAGGGCAATCTAGGAGACCCTGAAAAAAGATGTTGAGTGCTCTTATTACATGTTTTATTCAAATATGACTGGGAAGCAGGAAACTTAAAAATAGCCTTCATAGGGGTCATCAATCATATGCATTTAAATTATTTCTTGGATTTTGTTTTGAGATGCAAAAATAATGAAAATTTGAGGCTACCCAGTACAGAGGTCCACTGTTGGCTAGTGAAGCTGCACAAAACTCACACGTCATTATCTCAAAAATCACTTGATAATGGACCATGGACAAAGTCATTCAATAAGACAGTTTTAACTCCCTCTCCTGGAATCTTGTTTAAAAAATGGATCCAACATCTACTCCTTTGTCATACAAAAATTTCTCTTATCTTGAGTAAAATGTACACAAGCACTTGAGCTGTGATGTTAGTTTGTTGGATAGAGTGGGGATTAATCCCAGGACCTTCACACTAAATTACATGCCCAACCCTTTTTTATTTTGAGATAGTTTCATTAAGTGGCTAAATTGCCCAGGTTGAGCTTAGATTCTGTGACCCTCCTTTTTGTTTGTTTGTTTGTTTGTTTGTTTTGGTTTTTGGAAACAGTCTCACTATGTGATTCAGTCTGTCCTTGAACTCACTATGTAATACAGGCTGACCTTGAACTCATGACAGTCCTGCCTCAGCTTCCCCAGTGCTGAGAGTACAAGACCGCCACCATGCCCAGCTTCTGTGACCCTCCTGATTCAGCTTCCCCAAGTGTGGGATTTTTTAGAGGGATTTTTAAGAAAAGTAAACGAATGGATTTTTCCCCCAAATATTTGAACCAAAATATCAAATCTCAAGAAAAAAATTGATCCAAACTGGAAGTTTCCCAACAAAAAGTAGGTAACTTCTATTACATTATCCAGTTCCTTGCATAGATTATTCAGTTTGGTATTGGGATATATCTAGACATGTAATAGTGAAACTTCATGATTTCAAGGAATTGCACCTTTTTTTTAAAGCTTGCTTTGTTAAAATGTAATTGATATAAACTTCACATATTTAAAGTGTATAACTTAACACATCTGTGAAACCGTCACAAACAAATCAAATCTCTTCTCTCTCTTGCCCCCCCCACAACTTCTGTCCCTAAGGCAACCATTAATACTGATGTACTTTCTGTTAGATCACTTTTCATTTTCTAGAATTTTATATAGTGGGTAAATTGATAGTAGGTTTTTTTTTCTTCCAGTACTGGGGATTGAAGCTAGGGCCATCACACTGAGCTACATCTCCAGTCCTTTTTAAAATCTTTTTAGAGTCTTGCTAAGTTGCAGAGTCACTCAGGCTGCCCTCAAATTTATGGACCTCCTCCCTCAGCTGCTCAGCGTGCCAGGATTACAGGAGTGTACCACTATGCCTGACTTCATTCCTTTTTATTTATTTTTGTGGACCTGGGGATTGGACCCAAGGGTACTCTGCCACTGAGCTACAGCCCTGTCCGCTTCCTTTTTGGAGACAGGATCTCACCAGCTTGGCCACTCAGAACTTGAAATTCTTCAGCTTCAGCTTCCCAAAGTGCTGGGATTCCTGGTCCCACTGTATTGGCTGTTGATCCAATTTTTTAATTCGATGTGCAATACTGTGGACTTGGAAAGTATTAGTAACGTAAAAGTTTTGAAACTCTCCAAAATGAAAGAGACTATTGATTTAAAAGACAGATGCTGGGCTGGGGATTTAGCTCCTTGTTTCCACCACCTGCCTCGAAAGCCCAAGGTCCCAAGTTTGATCCCCGGATTTAAAAAAAAGACAGATATTGCCAGTTATGGTGGTGCATATCTGTAATCCCAATGTGCTGGAGGCTGAGGCAGGAGGCTTGTGAGCTCCAGGTCAGCTTGGGCTACATAGGAAGTTCAAGGCCAGCCTGGTCTGAGTAGTGAGATTCTGTCTCAAGGAAAAAAAAAATAGGGCCTTTTCCTCTGTAATCCTTTTACTGTGCACATTCAGATTCCTAGACACTTGCATATGGAATTGTTCTTAGTCACCTTTGACTGGCTCCTGATTGAAAAGAAATTGCTTTGGGCTGGGGATTTAGCTCAGTGGTTCCACTGCCTACCTTGCAAGCACAAGGTCCTGAGTTTGATCTCTGGTACCAAAAAAAGAAATTGCTTTTAAGTTCCTATCATTACAAATTATGTAGGTTACTGTATACTTTTTATAGTAGACCTTTATGCAATTAAATTTTTTCCATACTTGTTACTGACAGTTTTAAACATGAATGGATGTTGAAGGATGAAATTACTTTTCTGCATTTATTATAAATACTATGTAGTTGTTCTGCTTCATTATAATTATATAGTGAATTACATTTTTTCTTCTTTTATTAAACCACTTTCATGTTTACATATTAAACCAGTCCTATATTACTGAGAAAGGAGCATCCCAATTCCCTGTTAATTGATAAAATTCACATACATTTCACATACAGTTAAAATGCACAAATCTTGAGTGTGTAGCTCAATGAATTTTTACATGTGTGTATCCACCACCCAGGTCAAGGTACAGAATTTTTCCTAGAAGGGTCCATGAAGCCCTTTCTTAGTCAGTACTTCCCCTGACAGGTGACTACTTCTCTGATGTCACCATAGATTATATTATTCATGAGGTCATAGAACAAAATCATACAATACTCCTGTGTTCTTTCCAGTTTATGTTTCCAGATTTATTCCTGTTGTTGCATCTATTAGTAGTTACTGTTTATCAATATGTGATACTCCATTGGATGAAAGAACAATCTCCATCCTCCTGTTGGTGGACATTTGGGTTATTTTCAGATTTTGACTGTCATGAATAAAGCATCTAATTCTTTTGGTGGACAGATGCACTCATTGCTGTTGAAGTAGAATTGTTAGGCCATAAATTATATAAATAGTAGATCCTACTCAATAATCTCCAAAGTAGTTATTAACTTACACTTAGTTGACATTACTTTTTTTTTTACATTACTTTTCATTCTGTCCATCTCATTTGTGGAGTTTCTTCCTGTTTCATCAGACATGGTATCTGCATTTCTTTTTCTCATTTTCAAATATTGTTGTGTTTTGTTTTGTTTTTGGTACTGGGGATCAAACTCAGGACCTTGCACTTGCAAGGCAGCGGGTGAAACCACTGAGGCTAATTCCCCAGCCCTCATTTTCAATTTTGCATG